AAACGTCGGATTAGGTAGTGCATTAGCCCAAGTAAACTTCCTGCCCGAAAACTCAATCTCACGTAGATCCAGACTTTCAATGATGGTGTTAAACATGAACGACCATCTACCGTCGAAATTATCATTATTCTTCTCATCATGCCTTCTGATAATATTAAAATCACCCCCTACTAGGATAGGCAGTTGCTCAGAACCACAAATCCTAACCAAATCAGCCAAAAAATCTGGTTTAAGCTCGGGCTGTGCGGCTCCATAAACTGCCACCAAAGCCCAGTTAAACCCATCGGCCTTCGACCTCACCCTAAACTTAACTGCGAAATCCCCCATGACCACGCTTCGGACTTCTAACGAGTCGCATCTAACTCCGAGTAAAATCCCCCCTGATCTTCCTCGCGGCGGTAGACAATGCCAATCAAACTCAATACCTCCCGACAACGTATTGAGAAATTGAGGCGAAAAGTCGACTCTACCAGTTTCCGATAAAGCGATAAAGTCCAACTTATGCTCAATAGAAGCCTCAGCAAGAAACCTTCTTTTAGCCAAGTCTTTCAGACCTCTGCTATTCCAAAAGATTCCTTTCATAACTCGTCATGGAATTTTTTAGCTGTTCTAATCCACGCGCTCCTACGCACTACGGAAGTCGGGTAAATCTCCCGCTTCCACTTGCGTTTAGGAATATTAAAACTCTCCGGCTGGTCCTCACAACCAGTCTCAGAGGCTCGCACTTCATCAAAGTCCACTCACTCATCTTCCTCCTCAGGAGCGAGATCCGCACACAAATTATCGAGGGCCCTAACCCCCAAAGCATCAATCTCGGAGTTATTCATGGGTTTAACCGCAGCTAAGTTACGAATCATCTCAAGCGCCCGCTCAGCCTCTAAATCCAATAAATCATTAACCGAATTTGAAATTTCACTATCATTGCTACCTAGTGAAATTCCTAGCTTATTTGCATTATTAATAATCTCATCATCGGAAAAATGCAGAATAGAATTAGAAGTATTGACAGACATACCCGTAGTGACCTCCACGTCACGAAGCTTGGCCGCCCTCATGGCGCACCGCTGCTGAATGTCGTCCATCTCCGGATGGTCCTGGAGATGGCTGCTCAACCGTCGCCCCTCAGTAACCGGATCCGGGATACCACCGAAAGCAATCACCTCCTCCCGAGAGGCTCTGCTGGGGTGCACCATGCAGGGGAATGGAGGAGCCATGGCCTCCTGCCCGAGCTCCCCCACTACCCCGGCCAAAGGGCGAACTGTCGGCACTGGCGCCGCCGGCACACAAGGCCCTCGAGGCGCCACAGGAGAAGAGGCCCCCGAGGCCACTGAGGCCACCTGCCCCGAGCCCCGTCCGGGCTGCGACTCCATCGCCAGCACCGCCGGTCCGGAAGAAGGAAGTAAAGGTGTCTGGTCGAGCAACCTCGGCCTCCCAACCGAAGGCTCAAGCTGCACCATCGGAGGCTCCCCCACCGCTGGCCCTGATGAGGGAAGCGCGGCCACCTGCCCCACGCCCCCATCAGCAGCAGGCATCCTTGGCTGTACCTGCACAGTTGCGGCCTCAGATGAAAAATCCAAAGCCCCCATCTTCAGACTCTCTCCCGCGCCAACGACCTCCTCCGCCCCAATCCTAACCGGGATCGGTGACTCCCCCGAAGGAGGAAGCACTGGCTCCTCAAACTCAGTGCCGGAAGCGAGCGCTCAAACACCTCATCCGACTCCACCCGATCAGTCCACAGTCTCGGGGGTGCAGATGCCGACTCGAAAGAGCCGAACCTGAGGGTAGTCGTCGGCACCGAAGAAGGAGTAATCGTCCCATCCGCAGACGTCTGAGCATCAGCACCCTGCGTGGTGGACAGCTCACGTCCACTATCAGCAGCTAGTGCCTCCTTAAGTGCCGAACTATCATCATCCTCGTGCAAATCAGAATCAGACCCGTTGGCCATCCCGGCAAAGATACTCTCATCCTCGAACTCAATAACAAGGTCATATATGTGGCCTCGATATGCCCACTTAACCACCTCTGGCACAAACTCGATGTTCAGCACACTAACCAGAACGCGGGCAATCCCGTGGGCTCTAGTAAAGTCCATATCCACACACTCCGGTCTGCCAATCATGATACCCAAACTGGCAACAACCCGGGCATCCTGCATCGGCCTGGATGGTGCCCCAGAGAATCGCAACCAAACCTGCGTCAGAGGCTTGCCCGTAGACTCAACCCTCTTCCACTCCTGAAACTCAAGCACACCATCAGTACCTGGCACCTTGCACATCCCGAAACTCAAAAGCCTCTGAAGGTCCTCAACTGACGGACACTCAACCTGAAACAGCTTGTCCTCCACAGTCGCAAGCTCCCACCGGAACTCCCCAGGGGCTAACTCCTTAAGCCTCTGAATAATTTGCGACTCTGAAACCTCTCCTCTAGCAATCTTAACCAACCCAGATGTCAAGCTCAACGTCTCGTCAGGAACCTCCATCTCTGTTGGAGATTCAAAGAACGTAAGCTCGGCACAGTACACCCCATGCATCATCAGCGAAGGTGCCTGCTCTCTCAGAAGCGGACAGCCCCCCGCATCGTGTGCCGGTTTGCCACAAGTGCCACACAACTCGGCCACACACTCAGCAATAAAATGCCCCTTACCACCACAACGATAACATAGCATATTCTCCTTCTTGCGAGCATATTTTGAAGCTCTGTCCGACTCAGCCCTAGGAGGATCCTCCAGAGAAACAGTCCCCCCGGACCCATTCCCGGGTAACTCTGCATTGGCAAGCGCCAATACCACCTCCAAAGCCTGGCCTGTCAAAACCTGCTGCTCAGCATCCCCATCAACCACCATCGGATCAGTCACAGTCGGAGTAGGCGGTCGTGGGCGATACCGGCCCCCATGCCCACCTCGGTGACCACGGAAACCACCCCGCGGTCGAAGACCCGGGCCAGCCGCCCCCTCAACAAATCCTCCTAGGGGCCCCATGAACGGGCGCTCCGCTGAGCCATCGCTCTGCCAAGCATGGCCTCGACCTCCACCAGTCGACGAGGATCCACGATGCTTACCAGCACCATACGCGTTGACCCCATCATCACCCCACTGACCCTGAGGTGCAACCGTGACTTGAGTCGGTGGACGTGCCAGATGCTGCACTGCTCCGGATCAATTCTGCGGAGGCATAGCGACAAGGTGAGGTGGTGGAACTGGCCTTGGCTGGCCAGCCAACAGCCCCTGAGCGGGTGGCCGCGGCACAACACCTCCCTGGCCCGCATTGTTCCCAGCAGTAGATGACGGCAGAGGTCGCTGACCCACCGGACCCGGCGCCGGCGGCCGCAATCCCGCCGGAGTGGGCGCCGCTGGTCTAGGCCCGGGCAGCACGCCGCCCCGGCCGGCCGCTACCCCCACCGAAGCTACGCCCCTGCCGGCTTGCAGCAGTACTGCACCCCCGCGGCCAGCCCCCGTTGGCGGCAACGAAGCTCCACTGCCGTTGCCCGAGGCCGCGGGGTTCCGGCCAGCGCCGGTAGCCGGCAACCCAGCGCCACGGCCACCGCCGCTGCCCTGCTGCGGCGCGGTCCCAAGGCGGCCGGCGGCCAGATTCGCCACTGTTCTCTTCCCCGGCGGCAAAGGTCCTCCGCGACCCACCATCGATCGAAGCGGAGGGATACGCTTCGCTCGTTTTGTCCCAGCAGATCGAAAGCTCCGACTCAGCCTACCAGGAACCCTAGCGAAAGGTACGTGAGACACAGACGATCGAGCTAGCGGCTCCTCGTCACCCTCGATAGCGCTCGGCTGTGGCCTGCTCTGGGCTTCATACCCAAGCTCCTCCGGCCCACATACCGCAGCCCTCTCCGAGCAACCCTCGTTGCAAAAAAAACCGGTCGGACCCGGAATAGACTGGGCCTCATACCCATCTATCCCCGACCCAACATGAGCCGGCCCACCAACGTCCGATGGCAGCCCCTCTCGGCCTAGCAGTGAATTCAAACGACGCTGACGGAAATCAGCGATCCCGAGATCCTGGATCCTAGGAGTTTCCAACTCCGTCGCCGGCGGCCTCGACCCGGCCACCGTCCGGCGAAGAGTCTTCTTCCGTTTTACAACAACCCACGAATCCGGCTTAATGAGATCAAAAATTGTAAGATTTGGACGACATACCTTAGGAAGAGGGCCTTTCCATGGCTTGATCGCCGCCAACGAGGTTCTCCGGCGGACCATCTCTATCTTCTCGCCCGCGTCGATCCCCAACCTGGCCGGATCATGGATAGGTAGAACATCATCGATCGCAGACGCCACCTCCTCCTCTGAATAGCCGGCATTGAACCAGTCATTAACGTGGTCCGACGGCGTAGGCGACGGCGGCGATGGCGGATCGTCCGCCTCTCCATCCGCGTCGTCCTCCTCCGCTAGCGCCCAAAACCGTCCACCGCACCGGCGATCCCCGGCGTGGACAGATTGGGTGCGCGCGGTAGCCCCTCCATTCGCCCCTCCAGTAGCTCTCAACACACCAGTCTCCTCCTAATCCAGAAACGCGGAGAGAGACAAGTCGAGAATAAAACCAGGGGACACAAATTTCAGAAAGAAAAGAAAACCCGTTTCGCAGACTGCTGGTGTGTACATTTTTCACAATGTTGATCCCAGAAATACCCACATCATAAGGAAGACTACCAAATGCACTTGGCTAAAAATGAGAAACTTACAATCAGAAAGTGTTGTCATTGAATTCATCAGTCGGGGTAATCAACATATGTACTTTCACAAAAGAATTACAATGTTTCCTCTTTCACACTATCAATACCAATCAAAAGAATGCTATCAAACTCTTCTATATTTCCCTTTCTCAAAATATACTTTCCACAAGACCCAACCCAAAATTGCAAGCTGGAGACCGAAACAAACCAAACCCCAAACTATGCACTCCTATTTAAAAAATAAATAAAAAATATTCACTGCCCAGGAACTTCACAAAAACTGGTACCTGTCCGTATTTTCCTTTATATACGTAATGTAATCAGTCTGTATGCTGTTGCAGAAGAAAGTGGAACTGGGAGTTCTGCCGCAGTAGTGGTGGCGGCTCCACGTCAGTCGGGTTGATGTCGAGCATCAGTCGCGCTATATCATCCAAGGATATCGGTATGCTGCAATGCCGTCCATATGGGTGGGTGTTAGATCGATGGCAACTGTTGTGATTTTAATTAATTATGCGCCCCGTCACAGATTACATCTTTGCGCCGGTACTGAACATACCTTGAGTCGTCATCTAGTAAGAAAGAACTGTTCGGAGTAGTTATCGAGTCATCTGTCGTCATTGTTCTCATGTTTCCAATTACCTGAAAACATGCCCATTCTTGTCATGAAACAGGAAAGAAAATTTTGTACCTTTGTTTTCTATCACATCATGTTAATGTTGTTTGAAAACGGAAGCACGTATATTCTAGCAAGGACTCTCGCTTACCTCTTGGGATAGACCTTGTGCACCGTATTTATCATCCCAGAACATCGTTCCGATGCGATATATTTGGCTGATGCTCAGAACCTGCCAACAAAATGCAAATATTTGATATTGGATGGGTTTGCCAAAATTTCAAGCATCTATAACTTTGTCTTGTTCAGGACTTACGGGGCAAAGCTCATCAGTGATTTCCTCCAGTGTCTTGTGCGATTTCTGATGCAAAACCTGCAATGTATTTCATTTAGTAGGTCGGCCGTAGACAGATGGAACATCTATAATGGTCAATAAGAGCATCTACTTAGGCATACCAGGAACCCAACTGCCTGCCTTATGTGTTGCAGTTCATCCCAAGATGTTCCTGCATACTGGATTACAGAAATACATTTTAGTCTGGTGGCTTTCTGCTGATTAGTATGTTCCTTGCTGAAATTACACATTCTCTTTTTTATTTCACCTCTTCAGTTGTTCTAGAGCACCATTGCTCCAGTTCCTGTAAACCAGCCTTCAAGAATTCTCCATTGCTAAAGGAGCAGCATTCACGCCGAAGTAGCAAACTGAATGAAGAAAATATTTTTTGCTATAGTTCAGAATCAAAACATTTTGTGAAGCGTATACAAATGATGTCTCAAATGACAGTGTGTAGTCAAGCAGAGTTAATCTGAGGTAATTTGTACAAGACTAGCAGTACCTGTTGAAGAGTTGAACGTTCATAAATGCAAATACTTGACTGAATGTTTTCCTAATTATCATTGGAGGTACCTACAAATCAAAGTTGAAAAAGGAAAAATCTTCAGCATAGAAATTGTAATGTATTTCCTGACAGGAAGACAACTGAAAACGAAGCTACAACTCAAAACAAAGCTGTACTCACATAATTATTGTTCATCGTTTCCAGTGTATGATTCAGGCACTTGACAATGTTCTGCCAATGCACACTTGATGCTTGCCTTGATAGTGCACTAGAGTGTATACTTTTCAATGATCCTCGAGATGCTCTTACACGACCAGCTCTTGGAGCCTATGAATATTGGCACATGTTAGAGAAGTTGTATCACATTATACAAAGATTAGGCATGAAGATGCCTGAGCCTTGAGGTACCTGTATGCAGAGAGTCAATATTGCACTTATTTCCCTTTTCAGGCTATCTCTCATCATGCCATATATCTTCTCGACATATGCTGTTAACTGTTGCTTGAAACGTACAGCTGGATACTTAGCCTCTATCATTGATGTAGTGTCAGCTCTTCCTACCATTCCACTGTATCCGTTTGAAATACCTAATCCTGACGATGATGATCGAGCATTCTGAAAGTGCAGTTTTTGGCATATGTAAGCTCATTTTCCCCCAAATATAGAGATTTTTGCTCCAAATTACATAGCATGAAACCGGTAAGACATGGCAGTAGGCAGTAGCAGTTCAATACAAAAAAAGAAACGAAAAAGAATGAGCACCAGGAGCCACGTCCTGATGCCCACCAGACAGAACTCCAAGACGTAAGCTCATATTTTATGATGTGATCACAGATAATTGGTACCAAATGCATTTGAGATCTCAACCAAGAACATCTGCTTATGCAGAGCAAAAGTCTGGATGAAAAACTTACCTGCACCATTCTATTGAATAGGTTGCCTGTTGCGGTCCTGCTGCGATTTGGTACTTTAGTAGATGAACTGCTAGCTTTAAGTGTATTTTGTAAAAGGTAGAGGAGGGTTGATGTTGTCGACAGCCAATAAGCTAGTTCTCCAGAAGTTTCAGCATTCTGTACATGTATTCAGCCAATGAGTTTCTCGACAATTTGCTTACCAACTTTCTTATGCTATTGCATAGGAAAATCTGTATAGTTATTGATGGGAATAACAACCTCAACATATGACCTAATTGTATGGATGATACGATCAAATATGTTTGTCTTTTCTGCTTCAAATGAGTGCCAGTGAAGAAGTGATTTGTAGACAATACATGCTGCAGCTGGTCTTCTGTTGTCATATCTCCTGTCTTCAGCCAGGCTTTTGATAAGGACATCATGATTTTCCTGTGAAAGAGTGAAGGTAGAATAATTGTTTTTTTTAAATGCACAATATATGTTAATTAAATACATGAAACTTGTTCCCACAGTGAAATTAAAAAGTTCAAAGGACAAACTTACTTGCTGTCGGTCCGTCAGCGACTGTTGTTTGCTTAAATTCTTTACTGGGGGAACAACCACCTCCTCCTGCAAGCAAAGCATATGTGAACATTAATCCGATGACCTACTTGAGTATTGTTTCTTTCTATCTTACAGTATGTTTGTTGGGTATCACTGAGTTACAGTACATATACTAACCATTTTAGGTTCTCCATGCTGGTGTCCATTCTCAAGAACCTGATAAGATTTTAACACAAATGTTAGTGAAACTTTGTACTTCTGAAATATAGTTGTAAAAGCCAAAAAAATATCTTATTGAATTTTCATTACTGGAATTGTACCTTCACAACAGCTGGCTCAATCACTTCAGGAGTGACTACTGCTTGAACAGCTGGTGCAGGATTGCTGCGGAGCAACTGATTCTCTGACTCCAAGATGGCAATCTTGCTTTCCAGACTAGACAAATCATTAATTGTATTAAGTTATAATACTTCCATGCAGGCAAGTGGTTAAGAATGGAAATACGAGGTATAAATATTGTAAATTTTTACCTCTCTATTTGTTTTGTCTTATTATCATCATCTGCTGACGCAAGCAACGATTGTTGGCGTAGAACGTGGTTTTCAGATTCCATGTTGGATAAATTTGTTTCAAGCCTGAACCATATATCAAAAGTCAGTGAGTGGATATGATATGTATTCTTTACAAGTCGACTTTTTCCAAACTCCAAAGCTATGAGCTCATTAGTACCTAGCGATCATGTCTTGAACTTGATTAATTTTGGAGTCCCGTTCTTGTGTCTCACGTGACAATTCGTCAGACTGTTTTTGAATCTCAAAAAGCTTCTTCTCAAGATCTTCAGCCTTCGTTCTAAACGTACCGAGCTCAGTCTGGATAAAAAAAGGGACGTGAGAATTTCACTGTAGAATAAAATGGTGAATCTTCCTTTTGAGTACAGCTGTGGAACCTATTGGGTATTCATACCTCAAGTTCCTCGTTTTGACTTGTCAACAACTCAACTTTTGCGTTATCCACCACTGGCACCTCTACTATCTTAGGTGGTGCCTGTTCAATTGCTAACTTTGCAGCTTCTTTCTCATTTATAATTGCTGCATGGGCTTCCTCAAGCTTTTCTTGCATTTCTTGCAACGCAGATTGTAACTTTGTAATTTCTTGTCCCTTGGCTACCTCAAGGTCAACCTGCCAACATGCATAATTTAGCAAACTCATTGGTGTCCAAGCAACATATTAAACTGTACAGCAACTACTATGTTGATCTAAGTGAGTTACCCTCAAATGCTTCTCAACATCTAATCTCCATGTGAGTTCCTCAACTCTCTTTTCCAGCTTGTCTTTGGCTTCTTTAAGTGCACCATTATCTCTTGCTTCCTGTTACATGCTTATACTTTAGTTTAAAATGCATTAAAATACACATGAATGAATTACGACTTCCCAATCTGAAATTGGACATACCATTTTGAGCTTCCGAAGTTCCTTCCTTGCAACACGTCCCCTCCACGAGCACTGGAGAATTAGAGAAGCTCTTTTTTGCAGTTTGTAAGCAACATAGGCTTTGTGTTGGCGCCATCGAGTCTGGATCCACAAAGTAGTTAAGTTTCGGTTGATTATTAAATTACCTCTGTACCTTGGTTCACATAATAATACAAACCTGGATGATGATGGTCGCTTTGGTCTCTCTTCTGAACCTGTGCTCCTTACGAGCAGCCATTGCACGTAATCCTGTCTGTATTGTTATTGATGATCTGTATATTTGTAGGTAAGCTTTCCAGGCAGAATGAGTACGGGTGTGCTTCTGTATTGTAATTGCAGCAGCGACTCTTCTCATGTGCTCAAAAAGCTTTCTAGCTAGTCGTGCTGTGCCATTTCATTAGATTGTATGTCAGTTCAAGTGAGAACTAAGTAAGAAGTACTTCTATCCAAGGCATGAAGTACCGAACACGAAGGAGTGAAGAAATACCTCTCCAGAACTTTTGAGTTTGAATGGAAGCCTTTTTTAAGCTGACGAATTCCTTTCGCATAAGATGCGTTCTTATACGCCTCTGGATAAGTCGCACAGCATTGGCCAATACTTCTGCTCTTCTGGCATCCAGCTCTGCCATCTGGCCAGCTCTTAGGAATACCTTTGTTTTTCCTATCTGATAAAGGAAAGGGTATGCACAGTCAGTTTCAACTGTCATATATGATAGATACAGTTTTTATGTTTCACAACTTCCCATTTTCACTGTAGGTTACCTGGTATCCCTTCAATCCCATTTTATCACATATTGCTGCGCAAGCTGTCTTCTCGTCAGAACTGCAAAATAGTTACAGAACAAGGGCATATCTAAATTGATATATTTTACTTGAGTTTCATCTCCTTATCAGTTCGCATAACTTGAGCATCCATACCTGTCCACAAGCTCTGGTGCAAGCACTCCGAATCGATCAATGAACTCATCAAATGTTCTCTTCGTCGGATAGCCAGCACAACTGATCCGGATTGCTTCCAAAACACCCTGCACCATGAGCCATGAACGCGATGAAATTTCAATCAAATTCAATGGAGCACAAAACATGAAAAAGAAAATACATACCCCACATCTCAATTGATTCAAGACATTGTCGTTCTCGAAGATGCCAGGTTTCAGTACAGTATTAGGCTTCACACATCTAATGTAGTGTGGTTCTGTCGTACTCAATGTTTCCATCAGGGCTTGGAGTTGTTGCTACACATATTATGGAATACATGTTAATGAGTATTTCAAGGCTAAAAAAGAGATTTAGCTCCAATATGACACACCTTAAAGCGAGTACCGATGGAAGAGAATTTGGACTGTTTAGAACTTTCCTCTGGTAATGGAGGAAAGAGATTTGCAACAAAAGAGCACCTTGACGAATTTAGTAGAGCTTGATGTTCAGCGACCACATAATCTTTGTTCTTGTCAAGAAAATAATCGGCTTGGTACGTGACCTGTCAAGTAGAATAGTTTATTAAAATTCCTTACTGATTATATATCAAATTATCATACTATCACCGGACTAATGCTTACATCTCCTGCGTAGTGATTGATTGTGAAGGCAGTCCTGGCAAGTTTGGGCTTGCTAAAGCGCTTATGTGATTTGTATGTTTGATACATCTTTTGTGCAAATGTCTCGTGAGTGGACTTCGGAAACATGCTGCATCATCCATAAGCATGTCAAATACTTGCATTTGCCTTCAGTTTGCATGCAAGAAAAAGTATCCTGTGTATTTTTTTAAATGAAATATACTACAGAAAACTTTCATTGTTGCAAGTGTCATCGTGGACATAAAACTAAATCTGGAATGACAGTCAAAAGAAACTTCATTTTTGGGTCAAAACATCACATACCATGCCTCATCCAGGAGGGCAATTATTCCTCCAGGTTTCTGTACGAAATATTTAAATGTTTGATAAGTAAATACCTGATTCATTTGTTAAAGTTCACATATAACTTATGATATTCAGAGGCATTACCTTCTCAATCAGGTCCAGCACATCCTGATTATCCACAAATTCCACATAGCTCCAGTCTATTTCATCCCTTGTATACTCTTCTTGCTCCATCTTGAATACGTGCTGCCGAAGGAATACACATATTTATGTAGATATTAAATATACATTTCAAAATCATTTTCTCTTAGCACCTATGGTCTTAGCTAACCTGATTGAAGTGCTGCTGCAATTTCTCATTTGTCATGTTGATGCACAGTTGCTCAAAACTGTCATATGAGCAGAAAGTTAGTCATGTTTAGAAACTGAACTAATATCATACTTGCACTTTTGTAGTGTAACGAAGGTACTAATGGCAAACCTGTTGACCTTGAAACTCTCAAATCCATATATATCCAGCACTCCTATTATACTTATTGCATCAGGATCTTGACCAATCGAGTTATTGATCTTATCCACAATCCTGTTAACCCAGATAAGAAAAACCTTTCTGGTTAAATGGCATACATTAGAGATGAAAGATAAAAGTATAAAGTGCTAAATTTATTAGTTTTTACAAAAAAAAAGGAACTGGTAGGAGCGCTGCCTTTTCAGTAAGAAATTAGATGTATGAACAAACAGGTGGGCATGAACATGCCAAAACCCTATGTAGATAACGCTCAACTACTCCTGAATAAGCACAACGCTCGGGGATCCCAGGCAGAAAGCCATGCCCCACTGGACGATTTCGTCATATGCGCAATGGGCGATCTCCACTAGTTTTATTAGCATTTTACTACATTCATAACAATATATTTTGGTCTGTACACATATCTGGCAATCTGGTAATACTGATAAGAAGTAACACTTGATATTTTTTGCTTGTTTGATGCATTAATGAATATAAGAATTCACGCTTACCAGTCGAATAGTCGTGAATACACCGTCTTTGCCAAGGCATCACGACTCTGTAGAGCAGAATCTGGATCGAGGGGTTTTGTGATATTTCCATCAGGTGTTACAATAACACGCTGACAAAGAGAGTCTTCAAGCAACTTCTCATCACACCTAAGATACAATATGTACTTGAGTAATACCATAAAACTGCAGATCACCAAACATAAATCACTGAAAGAAATTAGACATACATTAGCAGTTCTGCCACTGTTTTCAGGTGATTGATTGATTTCTCATCCCTCAACCGTGATGAATCAATTTCTTTCCCTTTGGAGAAATTAATGTTTCCTAGATGAAGGATTGCCGCTACTACTCTGAAGATTGCATCCTTGAGCAGTGAAAGAGATTAATTAGTTTTTTTTAGCCCAGCAATATCGTTACTATTTCTTTCAAGTCTCGTTATAGTTTCAAATACCTGTTCTTCTTGAGAAATTCCAACTATATCCATTGCATTTCTTGTTTCTAGGTATTCTCTTGCGTCGTCCACATTAGCTACTTCATAGCAGCTTGTTTGGTTCAGGTAATGAAATGATCGCGGGTCTCCCACCTTAAACCTTTTTACGTCCTGTAATTAGTTAAACATCAAGAAGAAGTCTTTTGGACCATGCAGATATGGTAAGCACTATATAGGTACTTCTTGTTAAGAATTACCTCCGGTGGTGCAGAGCATAGCATGTAAAAGCAATGGTAGTTCCGTTCAGGATCAGAGACCTGGCATACTCGTGATCGTTCAAGGAGGTATGTGCGAACGGCCGCACCAGATATCTTCCCGTATTTGTCAAATTGGATTTCAACAAACTTACCAAATCGACTGAAAAAGATCGGCATGTTAAGTATAAAACTTAAAAAACATTTGCTGCCAAAGCATAGTTGTAGTTGCTAATTCAAGAATCCACCTTGAGTTGTTATTCTTCACCGTCTTCGCATTACCAAATGCTTCCAGTACTGGGTTAGACTGAATGTGTTGTAGAAGAATCGAGAGAGTTAGTGGGACATCATTCTAGAAGGAAAGAGTGAGAAAGAAGATGAACAAAAATGTTGTGTTTTCCAACCTCTAGAACTTGCTGCTCAACGGTTCGTCCCTCGGTTCCAGACCTTCCTCCCATGAACGCAAGGTACCTCATGAGCATCTTTGTCGTCTCTGTCTTACCAGCACCACTCTCACCGCTCACCAATATTGACTGGCTTCCATGCTCATTGATCATTGCCCTGAAAATTATATTCAGCAACAAAACCGCGATGAACATCAGCCACACAATACAGTGAACTGGCTGACTGTCCAATGCCCACAGACTGCAATCGCACACACCTGTAGCAAGAATCTGCAATCGCGAAAAGATGGGGGCTGAGCTCCCCGAAGGTGGCGCCTTTGTACTGCTCCATCATGTGCACGTCGTAGAGATGGGGCAGCCTCTGGAAAGGATTGACTGCAATCAAGATGTTCCCGGTGTACGTCTGTCGTCAGAATAGTTACCAGTGTCAGACAATCAGCTGAAATGGTTTCTGACTGGGAGAGAACATCAAGATGGACAACCCTGGATTACTCACGTATATCTCGTTAAGGCTGTACCGGCAGGCAAGGTTATGCAGGACTCCCGGTTCATGGAGGTAAGCGAGCTTCGTCATGTCGTCCACTCCTGCTGGGGGCGCTTCCGTGTCTTTGGGGTATATGCTCGCGAGGCTGGCCACAACCTGAACCCATGGATGATTCAGAAGCTCATGTCGTAAGCAACTTGCATCGAATTGGCGATTGAAAGTAACAGTAACTCGCGGTGGCAGTTCCATCCAAGCAATTCGACGAACAGTTGGTAGGCACTGCTCGATTAATTGCTAAGACGAAGTAGAGCTTGATCTGAAATCTGCATCCTTGGTAGAATACTGGTGGTAAAGAGCAGCGATGAGGCAGAGAGCAGGGGACTGCGGAGTGACTGACCGTTTTGCCGTTGGTGGTGGCGACGGTGACGTCGGCGCCCTTGATCCCGGTGACCTCGCCGTCGACCCAGGCCTCGTCGGGATCCTCCAGCCAGACCTGCGAGCCGACGATGATGTTGACCGGAGTCCCCTGTCGTCGACCCAAGAAACAAGAAACATGTCAGCTCGACCAAAAGCAACCAACCATCAATCACGGGCGTGAAAGAAGCTGGCTGGAATCGAGCAAGAAAGCAAGCTGACCATGTTGACAGATTCAGTCCACGGACGACGAACTCAGCTCAGCTCGATCGCCGGCGCCGGCGAATCTCCGCTCATGCGAGCACGGGATCAAACCAACCAAATAATACACCGGCAGCCAGCAAGATCCCGCGAGCTGGAGTTGTTGTTGCTGGAATGCGCACGCGAGAGTAGTACACTACAACTGGAAAGGGAGGAGAAGCAAGCGATGCGACAGCAGGAGGGAAAGAGAGCAGAGGAAGGAAGGGGGAAAGGAATATACAACCAAGGTGGTGGAGGCGGGGCGAGGGGTCGGAGTGGGGTGGCGGTCGCGGGGCGTGAGCTGGTTCAAGTCCCCCTTTTTGGTGGGAAAAGTCGGCACCGCTACGGCCACCCCGCGATGGCGGCGGCTGCTGCGGCCGGTGGCTTCTTTCTTTCCTCTCTTCCCCGGTCGGTTTCCCCATTGGCGAATGGTGGTGATCTACCGGCTGGAGTGCCACCGAAAGGGGGCGGCTGAAAAGGAGAGGTTCAGGGAAATGGTCCGTTCCCTGGCCCCGGCGAGTACAGCGACGGCTAAGGATGTCCTGTGTTGTGTTTACAAGAAGCCGTCCAAAGTGATTATCCCAAATTTATGATATACTACTCCATATCTATAGCGAGATAAGAAAAGAAAAGGTGAGATATCTTTATCTAAACTTATCCCATAATATTTTTTGCGATGCTTATATCCTATAATATTTATTGCAATTCCGGAGCTTAGATCTAATGGTTGCGCATATAGTTAGACCCTCTAACAGCTATTGTATCAATTGTCTGATTAAACCCTCTAATAAACATTTTCACACTGGTCTTTTTATGGTTTGCTTCTATTTCTACTCCCTAAATAAGCATTTCTGTGTTCGCGTGATCAACTCGTGCACCCAACGGCGGAGACAAGCCTCAGGCTGCCCGGGCGATGCCTAGGTTGTGAGGCTGGTTTTCTTCTTTCACTGTAGCATTTTTGCATTGTTTAATATTGTAGCTAGCTAGTGTTTGGATTGGGGCTTGCCTGGGTCCTGCCCCGATCCTGGCTTTTTGTAACCGTTGGATCCTCTCATTTCCTTTCTTCTTTCTCATGTTCTTTCTTTTGTCTCCACAATCTAACCGTACCTTTTTCGATGCAGCGCATTTCTGCTGTCCCATTTTCTTTGTCTCGTCTCTTGAATCTAGCTCTATCTTCGTTGGCGCCTCCATATGTGCGACGTCATTGCCGCCTATGACGTCTAGTGTCTTATGGGCGAGCATTCATCTAACAAAACTTTTACGGGCGGCAGGTCCGGTTAGTAATTACGAATCCTGATACTGATATATGCAAACATCTAACAAAATCTTTCCTGGGCCAACTTCATCATAGCATTGATCCTCGGGCAGGTCTCCTTCCATAGCTTTGCCATCGCCGTTGTTGTGTCATCACCGATAACACCGCCACACCACAATAACCACTCTAACAAGGTCTTATTTTTCGGCCTCGCACGCATAGCCACCTCGTCGTCGACATTGAGTTCACCGGTGTTTGAGGTTCATGTAGACCGCGCGCATATGTTTTTATGAAAAACAAATGTTGTTCCTCATGAGTCGCCGAGACCTCGGCTGTGTTTCGAACAAGCACTAAATCTACCTAAGAACAGGAGGAGACTGATAACAAGTCAGAGCATAGAACTGTCGCGTGGCCCGGCGTGAACTGGACGCCTTGTCTCGGCGGCGGTGGTGGTCCAGGGTGGGCGCTAATCATTTTCTCTTGGCCGGTGCAAAAGGAAAAGGACGTTCCATAAAAGATTGAGAGAAAAATGATCTCGACTCGGGCCTTTCGGCACGTTGCACCGTCACCGGCACGTTTCCACCTGCGCTTTGCGCAGAGAATAATCACGAAAGTTCTTTGATTATTACCAAACTCTCAGTACGGGCACTAAATTATCATGCGTTTTTTTTTAAATTGAATCTATTCATTAAGGCAGTGTTCGGCAACCCATCACTCCTAAAAATACGAGAAGCTGCGGAGTGAAGGGACTGCAGCTCCGTGCTGTTTAACTACAGCTCCGCCGCTCCTGAAGTGGAGCGGCGGAGTGGACAGACTCCGAATAGGACTTAACTGTCGAGATAGTAAAAAAACACTAGAAATAACAATGATTATATCCAGATTCGTATATCACCTAGTAACAATGATTACCTAATGCGAACCAATCTGTGATTGAATGGTTAGAGGGACTGTGCTATCCTCAGCCCATCAGGGTTCAAGTCCTGGTGTTCGCATTTATTTCTAGATTTATTTCAGGATCTTCGAGGGGTGAGTGTATGCTCGTGTATATGAACGCTTGTGCATGTACTATTTAAAAAAAAACAATAATTACCTAACTTACAATACGACACTCAATTATCCTGCATTTTCATTTTTAGAAAAAACTTCAATCTATTCTTTAACTGTCAAGACAGTACAAAGAACATCATAGTTAACAACAATTACATCCAGATCCGTAGACCATCTAATAACAACCAGAAACATTGAAGCGAGTCGAGACGTGTCTTCATCATCGCCTGCAATGATGTTATACTAAGTTATGATTGGCTATATCGTCACAGTCCAATCAATTTAGATTGGGAGGCAAGAACAATGAGTATCTGTCATAATGGACAACAACAATACTACTTCTTCAATATTGTTAAACCCTGATAAGTTTTAAAAGAAAATTGATAAATGAGCTATGGGCTACTATCTTTATCGCATATCTTCCCTCCTTCATTGTAGCCGGACAAACCTTATTTAGTAGATAGTAGAGCAGTCGTTGTGCTAAAGTCCAACAAGACCAGCGCACCAGAAAACAGTTACCGATGAAGAGAGGCATAAATTGATTGAAAAGATCCAAAATGTAGACACACCAATGCAGGCAAACGAAGACCGAATCCAAGTGGACCTATCGAAGACAAACGCCGGTCTAATCCCGCGAGATTCGCTAGAGACACGTCTTACACACTAGAAACATGATCCGGGCATGGGCTAGGCAGGAAGAATCCTATCCCGTCTTCAGGGAACCCCCACCGCCTTGCCTTTCTGAGCGGGACATAAATCCTAACAAAACTAAAAAAAAAGCACCCAAAAATGAAGTCCTACTGTCAGGAAGGACGAGCCGGAATCCACCGCGCCTCCATAGCCTTAAGGCCAGAGAAGATGAGGCAGACCAACGATAACACCGACACGAGGCAGGGAAACCCTATCGCTTGAGCGCTCTTGGTCATGAGCCAAGGGGCACGGGAGGACGTAGCCAAGCTTAATTTCAGTAGGGGCAACAAATAAGAGAAAATTATGAAGAGAAAAGGAAAAAATAGAAAATATCAAGAAGAAATAATAATAATGTCGAATAAATTTTTGATGATTTTCGTGCGGAAATTATTTATTTTATCTTTTTTTGAAAGAATTATTTATTTTATCTCAAAACATTCAACTTTTTTGTTCTTCTCAAATTTGAGAATGAAGCCGGGAGACACTTATTTCTCGCGCCGCTGTCTGCTTCGTCATTACAATTAACATCAATCTGAAACCAAAACTGCACGCCTTGATGCATAAATCTAGTGTATGCCTCTTCTCCCGTCAAGACGAGTGCACATGGATGTTTTTCAGAGAGAGGTCGGGTTTTTTTTTTTTTTTGAGAGGCCGGGTGAGAGCCCATGCGTTGTTATCGGGCCAGGGGCCTATCACACATTCTGGCGTGAGCCCATGTCCGCCTCACTCTCTCTCTCTCTCTCGTCCTCCCAACGCGTCAGTAGAGCAGAGCAGTCTTGCAGATAAGGAAAGCTCTGGTTCTGCGCACAAGCTCCAACCAAATTCCGACTCCTCTGCGCAGACCAATCACCAATGCCTGGGCCTCCTTCCACCATGTCCCTGCCGAGGCCGAGCAGGTGCTACCGCTGCTGCTCGTCGTCGACGCCGCCGCCGCCGAAGCAGCGAGCCGCGGAGAGCAAGCGGCGGCCTATCCGTAACCCATCGTCGCCACCTCCATTCATCCGCTCGTCTTGCCGCGCTAATAACTAACTCCTCGCGTGCCGCGCGCAACAGTGCAGGCGGAGCGCGGCTGCTGCTGACCCGGAGGGCGCTGGCGGGCGCTGTGGCGACGGTGACGTTGGCGGTGGCGGGCCGTGCCAGGGCGGCGGAGGAGGGCGGCGAGGGGGTGGTGGGCGCGTTCAAGTCGCTGTTCGACCCGAACGAGGAGACCAAGGCCGGGAAGGTGCTGCCCAAGGCGTACCTGAAGGCGGCGCGGGAGGTGGTGCGGACGCTCCGGGAGTCGCTGGGGGAGGGCGACGCCGCCGGCGACTCGGCCAGCTTCCGCAGGGGCGCCGACTCCGCCAAGACGTCCATCCGAGAGTTCCTCGGCGGCTGGAGAGGCCAGCCCGCCGTCGCCAAAGAGGTACAGCCAGCCAGCAGCAGCTCCATTCCCTTTCTCTCAAGCCAATGCTATGAATGTTGTTGCTCAGCTACTACCAAGTTTGTCAGGAAATTCAATCTTGCAAACTATCCCCCTTTTTTTGAAGAAAAAGAGTCGAAGGATGTTGAGAGTGTTTATTTAGGGCGATTAAACCATCTGTGAATTCACTTGCCGCCCTAATATTGGATTGGATGCAATGCAGGAGTCGTATGTGGCGCTGGAGAAGGCCATCAAATCGCTGGCGGAGTTCTACTCCAAGGCAGGGCCCTTCGCCTCGCTTCCGGGAGATGTCAAAAACAAGATCCTCGACGACCTCAACGCCGCAGAGGCCTACCTCTAGGTCTCTTTGCTTAGCGGCATTGTATTTTCCGGCGTAAATTCGTTATACTTGTGTCCTTTTGTTGCGACGTTATGATGAGTAAATAATAATTGACATGGATCCCCATTTCTCTCTTGATTCAACGGAGGCGAATATGGGCACCAGGGTAGTAGATGCATTGGAGAGGTGCTGGATCTTCAGTTCTATTCTAAGTTTCCCACACGACCAAAATGAGCAAGAGGCAAAGGCCTTCCGGTGGAGGAAGCCGGCGGGCCGGCAACCACAATGCAGAAGCACACATGGAACCCTGATTGATGCTTGCCAGCAGGCCCCATCCCCATGAATTCCTCCACAGTTAAAACATCCTAAAATTTCAGGTTTGAAATTACTCGCAGCAGCATGGCAAAGCTTTTTCGCCCATACAACTAGCATCATACAGACAATGAGGTTCCTTCTTCTGGTTGCAAAAGTGCAAAGCTATTGACAGAAACAACAACTAACATCCACTATGATTCGCGG